GACAACCCACTTAAAACAATTTTAAATTAAAAGGATATTACCCTTAATCAAATTATGTAATAATTTCGAGTTATGCTCATGGGGCTATCATGCAAAAATTAATTACACAAAATACAATGATTATCTAATTACTAAATAATATATAAAATTATCAGGCAATGCTACATTTTAAAAAATTACACATATATTTTAATTACAAATTATATATATATACACTAACATGTGATGCACAAATGTGATTGAAATGCCAAAAGTGAAAATAACATACCCAAACTATAAATTATTAAAAATCGCTATTCATGAAATAATGAGTGAATCATATTAAATGCAACTTTACTATCTTAAATACAACCAAAATAATAATTGGAGTGGAAATACAAATACCATACCATTATAAATAATGAACCTGAATTAAAACAAAACACTATTACAAAGGACTAAATTAAAATAAATCTCAAACACATATGGGACTAAAAAAATAACATGCAAAAATTAATAGTGAAATGTCTAACAAAAAGAAATTACATTACAGCATGACTGAAATTAAATGCGGGTAAAATAAAGAGATAAAATTAAATTCATGAAAACGTTCGATTATGGACTAAAATAAAACTATGCGCTAAAATAATAGAGGTATAATAAGCATCAATCCATTAAAATAAAGAAAAAAATTAAATATGTAAAATTACAATATCAAGACAAAAAAAATCAAAAATTATCCTACAAGTGATTATTTTATAAAATATGCTAAAATTAATGGGACCAAAACCTAATTTACCCTAAAAATATAATATGAAACCTACATTTATCTAAACCTAAACTAAACTCATGCACACAGAACACAAAACAGCTGCACAACCCCCTTCTTCTCCAACAGCCTCTCTCAATCCCATCTCTCCCTCTCACGGCCGATGCTCACTCTTTCTTCACTCACAACCATGTCTACGCCTGATATCTTCAAACCAAGACCTTCGAGGCACCTCTCACGCCGCTTAAAACCGAACCTAAGCTTTCCTGAACCTCAACCATCTCCTCTAAAACCCACTACACGAAACCTTAGATGGTTTAGAGCTTCGACCCTTTTCTTCCACAGCCAACGCTACCAAGTGTCTTCTCCGACGAAGACTCCGACAACAGGTACTCACTCTTACCTCGTTTCAGTTTATTATTTTTTCTGTTTTAATTCGATAACCCCTTTTTATACCAAGAGAAAATTTTATTATAAAGAACAAATCTTCCTTTCTAATGTTATTCTTACTTGTTTGTAATGCTACTTGTATGGAGGGTCCCTTCCTCAAAACGAGACTTGAGATAAGATTATGGGGTTACCTTCGATGATACGAGAAGGTGATAGTTTCGCCGAATAATGGTAACACTTATCCTATGAGAAGAGGTGAGCATTTTCGGTTGATTTCATTGATTCTTAGTTTATCCTTTTTGTTTGTTTTGAAATGAATCCCATACACACACTCAACAAATGTGTAAATCGAAAAACAAATACGAGGAATACCTTAAAACTAATTTTATTACTTTCGGAAAAGTTAGTGAATACCCTTGTTACAATGCTTTTCTTTCTCTGTGTTGATGAAATTCCCCCTGTTGTTGCTATTTTTTTATTTGCTCCTCCTCCTGTTCGTTTTGATGATATCGCTTACTGCTTGCTAATGGTCTCTATCCACAACCGATAGTCCCCTTCTTCGTATTTTCCTTCACTAAAAAACTGAGCCTTACCCCCCGTTGATGCGTGTTTTCTCTCTTCTTGATTCCTCTCTTTTGCTCGTGAAACCCCCTTTTTGATTACACGTGTTTGGATTTTATAGCCCAAAATTTACATAATTTCAACATGAAAAAAATTAATCCTGCGCAAATTTCTGCAGGAGACAAGGATGAAGGGAGCAGGTATTATGGATGAATTGCCTTTGACTTCTGATTTTGAAAATTGGGGATTACAACATGTTTAGCTAAAAACAATGCTGGAAATTGGTTTATTATGGGCATGTATGACATGTCTCCATTATTTGTGAGTGCATAGGTGAGTCATCAAGCATGGGCTGGCTAAAAACAATGCTGGAAATTATCTTCCACGTGCTGCTCCCCCTCTATTTGTGTGCTGCTTATGCTTGCAGAATGGATGTCACTTATTGCTCCATCATAAACTGATATCAATGTGTACCATGTTGTTTGTACCTTGTGGTGCAGTTTTGTTCCAGCAAATGAATGTTGTCCATGTGCAGCAGTTTGGACGTGTTTGTGGAGTGGATCCAAGCTTGTTTGAATGGATTGTCAGTTGTATATGTCTCCCAAGGGTTCCAAAAAGTTTTCCCAACGTGATTCATGGTCTAATGTGCTGTTGCAAGGAAAAACAAAGGTTTTGTTGAACTGAATTCGTAATTCCTGTATTGATTTTCCAGCCTGCACAGTCTTCAATTATCTGGGCATATATCAAGCTGCCAATATCGGATTAAATTGATTCAAAGTGAGTTGGAAATATAAGAGATAGAGGATTAAATGTTAAGAAGACTTCATCATCCAAATATTCTTGTAACTTGTTCAAAATTGGCGATCAATATGGATGACATGCACTGTTCACCGGACTGTCGTAATTTGCTGCATGGTTTACCTTGGCCTGCAAAATGATAACATAAATAATGTTAACACTATTATTAATAATAATATAATAATGATAATAATATCCCGGATAAAACGGGTGTCTACAAGATGAAGCAACCAACTCTTCGATAATCTCTTTGCAGATGACAACCCTCACCCAAGCTTTTTCCCCTTTCCTTAGCATTGATTTGGATAAAACATCTCTATCTACTTGTTTGACTAAGAAGGAAATATTTGGATCTATTGGGTTACATGCCTGATTTTTCAAAAGAAGTGGGATATCGTCAAACATTCATTATGCGCAATGGTTTACTATGCTTTCTTACATCATTCAATTGATGAGAACCTTCATTGTTTGATATTGTTTTTTATTCTAAAATCAAGTAATCTGAAGACTTTTATAGACTTCCGTCCCATAAACCTCTGCATTGTGCTTTACAAGCTCACCACAAAGATTATTATGATCATTTGCAAAATGTTTTCCTGTCTCTTATTGGGCATCATCAAACTAGCTTCCTTAAAGACAAAGCATCATCGAGATCATTATTATTAATCAGGAAGTAGTCCACACCATGAATTCAAAAAAAGAAAAAACGAGTGGATAACAATTAAATTCGACCTTCAAAAAAACTTAGACCGTTTACGTTTTTATTTTATTAAAAAAAACTCTTATTGATGTTGGTTTTCTACTCTCACTCGTGAACCTTATTATGTCGTTTATTACATCTTGTATTATGCAAGTTCAATGGAATGTAAGATTTGCTCACTCTCTCACCCCAAGGAGGGGATTCGTCAAGAAAATCTTCTTATTTATTCAACCTCTCAATGGAAAGACTAAGCCATTGTATATCGCAAAATATGGGCTCTAGGGTCTGATCCACTTTTAAACTTTCTAGAAACGATACTCCAATTTCTCCCTATTTTTCGCAGATACTTTAATTTTGTACGTAAAATTAGATTTGGAACATGCGTCCATCATAGATTCAACAGTAGAAAACATTGATCTTTACTTAAGATATATAATCAAATATGTACAAGGCTTGGTTATAAAGAAGTCACCAAACTTATTGGAGATAGACGAGGGGATAGAAGAATGGAGTCATGCGGTAGGGGAAAAATTTATTGGCACGACTCATAATTTCGGCTCTATGCAACGAATTGCTGAAATCCTATGGGGGAAAGACTCGACTGTTAAGGTAAGTATGGCTGGTTCAAATCTCTTCATATTTTCTTTCTCGAACAAGGAGGTGAGAGATTGGATTCTTGAGAACGGGCCTTGGCATGTACAAAACAAGCCACTTGTGCTGAGGAAGTGGGAGTCGAGCTTGCAGAAGCTTGATTTTGATCTCAAGCACATCCTAGTCTGGTTGCAATTATACAATGTACCCCTTGAGCTCTATTCTAAGGTGGGCCTAAGTTATATTGCAAGTGCTGTGGGGTAACCTCTGTATATGGATGCCATCACAACATCTAAGGCTAGGTTAAGTATGCTAAGGTCTGTGTGGAGATTAAGGCAGGGTCTGAAATTCCTGAGTTGGTCAATGTTGTGATGAGTGATAGCTTTATTGTGAAGATCAGGGTTTATATTCCCTGGTTGCCCAAATTCTGCTTTCACTGCAAAACTTTTGGAATCATTCTAATGTGTGTACTGATGTAGCCAGTGCTTCTCTGAAGGGGAAGGAGACCCAAATATGGAGGAAGAAGAATATTTTCAATCCTACTAAGCCTAATGGAAAAGAGAGGCTGAAGGGCAAGGAAGTAGATTCTCATAGTCTGTCTCTTTGTCCTAATGCAACTATTCTTGTGGGTAGTATTGAATGTACCAAAAAGACTGAGTTGAAGGTTGGGAATGCTGAGGAGTTATCTGTGCATGACCTTCAAGAGAGTACTGATACTCTTGTGGTTGATGCTGGCCAGACTAAGCTGGATTAGGTTGATAAGGTGAAATAGACTGCAAGTGGTGTAGAAGCTATGCAACTGGCAGGGGGCTTGGTAGGTCCTGGTGGTATGCAAGATGTTCCTGCTGGAGGTGAATTTTCTTCCTTGCTGGATTTCATGGTGATCAAGAAGAAAGTTAAAGGGAGGAGAAAAGATAATACTGGCTCCTCAAGCAAACTGGAGATGCTAGCAGGTGGTGGTGGCCATGACCGAAAGCCTCGAGCAGCTGCTATGGGAATCACTATGCTTCTCAATGAGATTAAAGAAAAAAAGAAGGATATGGTGGAGAAGGTTAAACCTAATGATACAAGTGTAGGAGTTGGTAGTGGAGGTCCTCCTATTAATGCTTAATGCTTATTTGCTTCTGGAATGTGAGGGGTATTAACAACTCCCTCAAACAAAGAAAAGTGTTCCATAGACTAGAGATCCTAGGGGTGGAGGTGATTTGTCTCATGGAGACTAGAATTAGAGAAATCAATATTTCTAAGTGGGCAGTTGCTCTATATGATGAGTGGAATTATGAGGCTAACTATAATTTCATTGATGAAGGTAGAATTTTGATACTGTGGAAGAATATATTACCTTTCTCTGTTGTTGGGGGATCAGACCAAGGCCTTACTATTCTTGGTGACATTGCTGGCCACAAAGTTTTTATTACTGCAGTTTATGGCAGTAATAATAGTCAAACTAGGAGGGGACTATGGGAATACTTGAGAAACTTGGAGAATGATGTTGGTGCTTCTTATTGGGTAGTTAGGGGTGATTTCAACATTGTAGCTGAGGTTAATGAGAGTTTTGATTGTGATTTGGGGTCAAATTCTTCATCTGACATGGATGATTTATAGGGCTGCATGGAGGATTTGGAGTTGCAAGATCACCCATTTGTAGGACCTATTTTTACTTGGTATAACAAACAAGAAGGTTCCTACTTGGCCTGGAAATTAGACAGGATTCTTATTAATCCTCAGTGGATGCTAGATTTTCCAGTCTCTTTTGCTGCTTCTGGAGTATCTGATCACTATTTAGGGATTATTTGGACTAAAAAAGAGGCTCAGATTCATAAACCGAAGCCCTTTAAGTTTTTCAATTGCTGGACTACAAGTGACAATTTTTTTAGCAGTGTTAAAGCTTCCTGGTTACAGCACTGTGATGGTAATGCTATGCAGGTACTGTTTTGCAAATTATAGAGATTGAAGCCTATTTTGAAGGATTTGAATAGAACTCAATTTTCTGATATTTCATCAAGAGTAGCTGCTAAAAGAGCTGAACTGGAACATATTCAACTTGCTAACCTTGCTGCTGCTAATCAGGCTGGGATAGAGGAGGAGAAGAAATTACAAGCTGCTTTAGTTGACTTCAAAATGGCTGAACTGGATTTCTATAGACAGAGAGCTAAGGTGCACTGGCTGCAGGAAGGTGACTTAAGCACAAAGTTTTTTCACCAAAAAGTTGAGTCTCAAAAGAAGAAGAACACTATTAGAGTTCTTAAGAATAAGAATGGGCAATTGCTAGAGAAATTTGATGGCATGGCTGCTGAGTTAGTGGATTTTTACAATAGGGTTATAGGGGCTGTTGACCCCTTGGTTAAGAGTTGCAACCCTGAATGGTTAAAAGATGTATTGAACTATTCCTTGCCTGCTGGTGCTGAGAGTACACTAGAAGGTGAGATTTCAGACAAGGAAATCAAAGAGGCTTTGTTCAGACAGGGGAGGGATAAGATCCCAAGCCCATATGGCTACACCTTCTGGTTTTTCAAGGCAGCTTGGGAGATTATTAATAGAGACTTTCTCATTGCAATGAGATACTTTTTTCAGTATTCTTTTCTCCTTCCAACATTTAATGCTACTACTATTGTCTTAGTGCCTAAGTCTTTGAACTATAGCATGGCTAAGGAATTTAGGCCTATATCTTGTTGCTCTGTTGTGTATAAAATAATCACTAGAATCTTGGTTACTAGGCTTGCCCAGTTTTTCCCTGGTATGATTTTGCTAGTCAATCTGCTTTTGTTAAGGGCAGAAGCATCACTGATAATACATTGCTAGCACAAGAAAAATTTAGGGGTTATGCAAGGAATAATCTCTCCCCAAGGTGTACAATCAAAGTGGATTTGCAGAAAGCATTCGATTCAATCAGTTGGGATTTCCTGTTAAACATTCTTGATGCTATGAGACTTCCTAATTTTTTTTTGGATGAATTAGTACCTGTGTGACAATTCCTAGGTATTCAATAGCTTTGAATGTCAGCTTAGTAGGCTACTTTAGAGGTGTAAGGGGTGTTAGGCAAGGGGACCCATTGTCCCCTTACCTATTTGTGTTTGTAATGAATTTTCTCTCTAAAATGCTTGATGTTGCTGTCAGGAATGGAATATTCAGATTCTATCCAAGGTGTAAGAGGATCTCTCTTACATATTTATGTTTTGTTGATGACTTGCTGTTATTCTGTCATGAATCATTGGACTCAGTGTTGGGGGTGCTTAGCATCCTGGATAAATTCTATGATTTGTCTGGACTGAAGTTAAATGCCATGAAGACTAAAATTTACTCTTGTGGAATTTCTGGGGGAGAAGTGAAACAAATCAGAAATGCAACAGGCTTCAGAGTTGGACAACTCCCTGTTAGGTATTTGGGGGTGCCTCTGGTGACTAGGAAGCTTTCTGGGACTGATTGTAAAGCATCATTGGATAAGATCAAGGGAAAATTGAGACAGTGGTATAGCAGGAAACTGAGCTTTTGAGGGAGGCTGCAGCTCATCAAAGCTGTACTGTTTAGTATTTTCTCCTACAGGAGCAGACAACTTATTCTGCCTAAGGGAGTTATCTTGGACATAGAAAGGTTGTGTATGAGGTTCTTTTGGAATGACAATGACTCCCCTGCTCGAGGTGCCAGAGTAAACTGGAGTCAGATCTACTCACCTAAATTAGAGGGAGGTTTGGGACTTAGAAGCTTGGCTGGTTGGAACAAAACTTGTTTTCTGATGCTTATTAAAAATTTATTGGATGGTGAAGGCTCTCTGTGGATAGCCTGGATTAAGGCTTACTGTTTTAAGCAAGATGATTATTGGAATGTTACATCTAAACCTAGCTGGACTCTTAGGAAGCTTATCAAAATGAGAGAATAGGCTGGCTGTTTGTTTACTGCTACTAATAACTGGTATCAAGTTAGGGGTGGTTGGATATGGGATAAAATTAGAGAAAGGAATGACAAAGTGGTTTGGCATCAACTTATATGGTTCCCTGCACACATACCTAAGTATTCTTTGATTGCTTGGATGGCTATTCTCGACAGGTTGCCAACTAAGGAGAGATTAACTCGTTTTGCAATGATGAATGATACTCGATGTGGGTTCTGTGGGATGCTTTAGAATCGAGAAGTCATCTCTTCTCAGATTGTGTTTACTTGTGGAGAGTTTGGGATGCTATCTTGCTAAGTTGTGGATTGTAGCAACAAAGCCTGAGTTGGGATGACCGGCTGTGCTGGTTGAATAAAAGCTTAAAAGGAAAGTCCCTACTAGTTCATATTCTCAAACTAGCATGGACAGGGTACATTTACTTCATTTGGGAGGAGCGTAATCGAAGAATTTTTAGAGGATTATCGTGCCCGTATGCTGCCATTGTAAATGCTATCAAAGAGGCAGTTAGAATTAAACTCTATAGATACAATATAAACAGGTTGGATATTGTAAATAGTCAATTATGTACTGATTGGGGACTTGTATAGCTGGTTTGTTATTTTGTAGCAGTTTACTGCTTTCTTGAATGAATACAATGATTGATTATCCAAAAAAAAAAAAGAAGTCACCAAAGTTGAAAAATATCTTAGAATCCCTATCTGACACTTCGGAAGGACTAAGGAGATTTATCGCTTCATCATCGATAAGATTCATAAAAAATTTGATGGTTGGTCAACTCGCACCTTATCTTTTAGTGGGCATCTCACCCTTGCCAAGTCACTATTAATTAATGGCTATACCTTCTTACTTAATGTATGTTTGTAAATTTCTTACCTCTCTATGCGATGAGATAGAATTAATCATCCGTAATTTCCTATGGGGATCGAGTGCTTTGACAAGAATCTCTCTCGTTAAGAAGAATTGGTTGGCAGCACATGGTGGCCTGGGCATTCGAAGAACGAGAACACAAAATATTGCATTTCAAATGAAAATTTGTAATGCTCTTGTCCACTCACCCACTACTTTATGCGTGCGTTTCTTGCGTGAGAAATATCGGATGAAAGAGCATTGTCCAACTTCGATAGCCAAACCAAATTGCTCCTCCTTTTGGCGTTCATTAGCTGGAATTTGGCCGTCATTTCATGACAATTTCTCATGGTCCTTAAGAGATGGCAGCAATCTGAGGGTTCCAACTCTCGGGCTTTTGATTAATTGAGCAAAGCCAACAATCAACATTGATGCTACTATGCGGCTGGAGGAAATGGCCCTTAGCGATGGAAATTGGAATAAACTCTTTTCTTTGCTCCAAACTGAAGACATCCTTCATTTGCAAAATATTGAGCCATAGAATATTTTCTCTGGCCCTGATATATGTTATTAGCAACAAAATAAAAAACAATACATTTCTCAGTCAAACGTGTTTTTTGTGCTTTCGAAAACTTATATTGGGATGCCAATGATCCTTGTTGGCGCGTAATTTGGAAACATCGAGTTCCGGAACGTATCTGAGGCTTTCTCTATCTGGAAATGAAAGACAAAGCCCTCACAAATAATAATCGCTGCAAGAGAGGCATAGGACAAGACCCCTCGTGTCTCAATTTGTCACGACACAGATGAGACCATGTTTCACATCCTTCGAGACTGTAATAATGTCCGTATAATTTGGAACATGTTATTGAGGATTCACCCTCAAATTTCTTTCTTTGAACTATCTCTTACAGATTGACTTATAAACAATCTTAAATCTTTCTACCTTTGGAAACCTAGAAATGTATTCGTCTTCCAAGGAATTTCCATGGATTTAAGTGTGGCGTTTCAAGTCAGTATTGCTTTGAGCAAGCAGTTTGTCACAACCCAATTTAGGGGTCAAATTATAAGTTTTTGATTCACTTGAACCTTAGGATCACCGATTAAATTCCTTATCTATTTGAAAACCCCAAAAATAAACTTCTACATTTGAAAATTCTTAATACGACGATCCCTTTGTTTCTGAATGGTCATTTGAAGACTATATTACTGGAACTACGACACGTCACTGAAGTATTTAAATGATGGATATTCTTCAAGTTTAGTAATAGCTAATGAGTCTAGACCCCGAATGAGTAATATAACATCGAATATCGATATGATTTAAATATCTTTATGACTTGGATCAAGTGAATGTCTTTGGATAGACTATGGGAACACCGATGAATCTAAATGATGTACTGCCTCTAAAGGTTATGGAGCACGACCCAAGTCGTCGGACATTATGGGATACTATTACAAAGTGGAAATGAAATAAATACCAACGGAATACCTATTCGTCTCCTCAAGAACTAGTCAATGATGATTCTGATATTGATCAGATCAGCTGGTGCAATCAGTAATAAGAAGTGAATAATAGTGATGTATCACGGTCCAAATGATTGACAAGTATCGCAGTGTTGGGATCGTTGGTTCAATTGGACTCAAAATCCTGATAATTCAATATATAATATTAAATCCCACAAATCATCGCTCCACTCTTATTAGATTAAATTACTAAGAATTCTCCAAGATTCAAATGTCTAAAATGCCGCTAATTTGCTTGAATAATGGGAACATTCATGTTATGCCTAAATCTTCAATAATTCTGATGTAAAAGATTCTGAATGTCTTCCTGATACTCAATTGCATACGAAAAATATTTGAATACTGTATGATCTTAATATATCATTTCCCGAATGAATGATGAATCAGTTAGCTATCAAACCCCTTTTTATAGGGATATTGATTATGAAATCCTATTTAAATTACAAAAGTTTCATGGTTCCCTATCTGATAAATACCAAGTATCTCCGAATAATATCTAGATCCTCTAGTGTGTTCCATATGTGACATGTAAATGTTTTACCCGTTTTAAACGTGATCTTCCGAAATCACCGATTTACTGTTTACGAACTATGGTTACTTGAAATATGTTCTCTGGTTACATGTTTTCACTGTAAAATATGATCGTTCCTGATTTATGGATCATGAAATCTACTGATTTATGAACTATGGTTACCTGAACTGTTTTATCTGGTTTCTTGTTTTTATTGGAAAATATGATCGTTCCTGAATTATGGATCATGGAATCTACTGGTTACTACTTGAACTGTTTTATTGAGACATTATCTGGGTAGGCTCTGAGGCCCCGAGAAACTTTCTTGGGTAGGCTCTCAGGCCCCAAGGAACTCCCTTGGGTAAATCATGGATTGCATATGGTGTGTGCGTGGAGGGCAGTTATATGGTTTATTTCATTGTCATGCTTACGAGATTTTACTTGATCACGATCTAGATATTATTGATACTGTTAAATCTGATTTCTACTGGATACTGCATGGGTAGGATTCTGGAGTATGGAGGTTCAACTCTAACCAAGCTGGTAAATCCTTATGGACCTAAGGCGACCCTTGGGTAGGCCTATAGGCCCCAAGGCATTCCCTTAGGGTGGCTCCTCTGTCGTGTGCTTAGGGAAAGTCCTTATGGATACAGTTTTGGGGAACTGCATAACGGTGTTCGGTTGGAGTATGGAGGTTCAACCTAACCAAGCTGGTAAATCCTTATGGACCTAAGGCGACCCTTGGGTAGGCCTATAGGCCCCAAGGCATTCCCTTAGGGTGGCTCCTCTGTCGTGTGCTTAGGGAAAGTCCTTATGGATACAGTTTTGGGGAACTGCATAACGGTGTTCGGTTGGAGGGTATTACTATGGTTTTAAAAATATGTTTTAAATGTTACTGTTTTAAAAAGATTTGTATCTCTTCACTAGTTTTGGTTGGAACATACTAGACATCCTATCACAATCTCCTAAAAACTTGATACTCTGAATGTTTCCTATGAACTAAAATCTTCATGGCTTTTACTCGATGAAATATCAGCAGAACCTCAGTTCATTATGAAAACCTGTAGACGGTTGAGTCAATAAGGAAAATTTAAGATGTTCCTTTTAACTGCGTGTCTTTCAGTATCACTTGGTAGTTCTGTATTACTGAGCTTCCCAAAACTCACTCTTTTACTCACCATTTCATGTTAAAAGAATCGTATCAGTGCAGCTATCGACATCAACAAAGGAGTTCCACCGGCGTTGCTTGCGGAGTACAGTGCATGTGATTAGGGGGCATGTAAGTTGCATTTTGTTTTTATATATGAGTCTGGAATCTTCTTTATTTATGAATATTGTTAAATTCTACTTTTGTATTTATAAATTATTTTATGATTTTAGGCGTTTTAACAAAAATTTAAATTTTCCGGATTTTTATTGTGGGTCGCTCCGATGGTCCTAATGTAACACCTCGAATCGGATCGAGTCACCCGCATCGGTTTGAAGGTGTTAAACAGTTCATCGGAACCAGGCACCCCAACAATCTTTTCATATAGATTTCTAAGAACCGCTTATACAGGTCTAATGACTACCATCAGATACCGGCTGGATATGTATGAACGCTGACGGAACATTTTCTAAATACTGGTGGTATATTTCGAGATCGTTTGGAAATTATTTGTTAACTTATAACAGGTACATCAGAAATTCCACAAAATTTAAAGTCAGAGCAATGTCAGATTTTGGAAGGCTTAAAACTTACATGGCTCCAAGGCTTTAAAAGGATAATAATACAGACAGACAATAAAGATGCATATGAACTTTTTTCATTAAAAAAATAAAAATATATATATTTTAAGATAACAAAAATATATTTTTGAAATCGAGGTATTATGAATATCAATGATGATGGATGTTTTATCAAGACCACTACTTTAATGGTTTTTTTTCTTCTTATTATAAACTTTTATTATTTTAATATTCATTATATCGAAAAAAATAATAGTAAGCACTAAAATTGCCTAAAATATATTTGATTGAATAACCTCATCGATAAAAGAGAATTTTTTTTTTAAATTGAGTTTCAAGAATCGCGTCTGTAGAATGCATATAAAATTAATTTGTT